GGGGGCTCGCGGAGTTCTACCACCCGGGCATGGCCTACAACGTGCGCGTCGCCTCCCGGTGAGAGAGTGTGGGTGGGTGGGTGGGTGGGTGGGTGGGAGTGTGTGAGGGTGTAGGAGAGTGCGTGCGCGCGTGTGTGTGTGTGTGTGTGTGTGTGTGTGTGTGTGGGACAAGACTGGCAGCGCCAGCTGAGGCTCATAGACTGGGGGCTGGCCGAGTTTTACCATCTGGGCATGGCCTACAACGTGCGCGTCGCCTCCCGGTGCGTGCTGTGCGCGTGGGTGTGCGGCAGGGGAGCTGTGCGGTGACGGTGTGTTGAGGGGCTGCAAGGGTGCAGGGGAGGGGAGTGCAGGGGAGGGGAGTGCACTGCACAGCAACGTGACTAGAGCGCCTGAATGGGCACGAAAAATTGAGGCAGGAAACAAATGTGACGGTAGTGAATGTGACAGATGTGACAGTAATGAATGTGAAGGCATCGTATGTGACAGTAGCGTTCCAGCAATGACTAGTTTGTGCATTTGTGTGCGGGTACTTCAAGGGTCCAGAGCTGCTGGAGGAACTGGAGGAGACTTTTGAGTCGTCTCAAAAGTCAACTCATGAGTTGACTCGAAAGTCACCTGGAGAAGTATGACTACTCGCTCGACAAGTGTCGTTCTATTGTAACGTAAACCCCACCCTTGTTTTCTCCACCCTTGTTTTCCCCACCCTTGTTTTCTCCACCCTTTCTCCACCATTGCTGTGCTCGTGTGGCCGTGCAGGTACTTCAAGGGCCCAGAGCTGCTGGTGGACCTGGAGGAGTATGACTACTCGCTCGACATGTGGAGCTTTGGATGCATGGTCGCAGGCATGGCGTGGCGTGGCGTGGCGTGGCATGGCATGGCATGGCATTGCATGGCGTGGCATGATAAGGCAATCTAAACAAACGGTGGTGGTTCACACATGGCGTCACCATGATGCTTTCCCTTTCCCTGCACTGGAACACACCAAGAGGAAGCTGCACGGTGGTGCGGTGCATTGGCAACACACCACACCACACCACACCACACCACACCACACCACAACAACGACTCAGCTTCCTCTTTTCCTCAGCTTCCTCTTTTCCTCAGCTTCCTCTTTTCCTCAGCTTCCTCTTTTCCTCAGCTTCCTCTTTTCCTCAGCTTCCTCTTTTCCTCAGCTTCCTCTTTTCCTCAGCTTCCTCTTTTCCTCAGCTTCCTCTTGCATTGCATCCTCTTCCAGTGGACACCACTCACACGTTTCCTCTGTACCTCCCCACCCCATTGATCTCTAAGTCCACTGGAAAATCAGGTTTCTTCCCCCTCAACTCCCAAGCCTTCCTCCTTCCGCAAACCCCAACCGTCCTCCCTCCGCCCGATCTCCCCCATTGCGTGTGCGTGTGAGCAGGTGTTTCGGCGAGAGCCCTTCTTCTGTGGGTGGGACAACGCGGATCAGCTTGTCAAGATAGCACAGGTGAGGCAGGGGGAGAGAGAGGCAGGAGAGCGTTTGAGGCGCCTCAAAACTCGTTGTTAAAGCACTGGGGGAAGAAAAGGAAGGAAAGACCTGTTAATGGGTAGGTACAAGTGGCAGCTCAAACATGCGTAGAAGAAGTTTCAATGGTTGGTTGTAAGTACCGATGGAACTGATAGGGCGCGCAACTAACAAGTGTGTCTGTTGACAAATCTTCATGACCCTGAGCCAGTGCTGCGCCAGTGCTGAGCCAGTCCCGAGCCAGTGCTGAGTCGAAAGGTTGTGTGTTTGTGTGAATGGGCATGCTCTTGCATGCGCGTGTGTGCATGTATGCATGTATGAGTGCAGGTGCTAGGAACAGACACCCTGTTTGACTATGTGAAGCGCTACAATATCACGTTGGACCCGCACCTGCAGCTCTTGCTCTCCAGGTGCCCTGCTCCCCCCTGCTTCGCCCTGCCCCTCTTTTCCGTGCCGCTCCTCGCCCTGATCCTCCCTGCTCCCTTCCCCCCCAGATTCTGGTCTATCATGGTTGCTGTGATGCCGTTTCTCCGTTTCGCCTTCTTCTTGAATCCTGCCGCGCTGTTCATTTCCCCACTGATTGAAGGCCCCTCGTATCTTCCTCTTGCTTCTCCCAAGCATGCCACTCTATTACCCCCTCCCCGTCCTTTCCCTCTCCCTCCACTTCCATCCCCTTCCTCCTCGCCCCTCTCCCCCCTCATTCCCCTCTTCCCTCCACCTTCTCCCCCAACCCCCACGTCCCCTTCCTCCCCCCGCCCTCCCACATACATCTCGGTTGTCCCATGAGCAGGCGACCGCGCAAGCCATGGTCGCGGTTCATCACATGTGACAATCACCACCTCGTGTCCGCTCAGGTGTGTACATGCGTGCATCCCTGCGTGCGTGTGGTGTGTTTAGTGACTTTTGAGATGTGTCAAAAGACAGCGCAGGCCATGGTCGCGGTTCATCACATGTGACAACCACCACCTCGTGTCCGCTCAGGTGCGTTCGTGCGTGTTCCCCAGCTCTTTGATTCCTGAGTGGTTCTTCGAAGGTTGCCCCTCACTCTCACTGAGACTCTAACCCCACCACCAAGGCCTGTCCTCAGGCGGTGCCTCTCAGGTGTGCTGTGCGCAGCGGTGCAGCGCAAGGGTTTGAGAGCGTCAGCACAGGGTTTGAGAGCGTCAGCACAGGGTTTGAGAGCGTCAGCACAGGGTTTGAGAGCGTCAGCACAGGGTTTGAGAGAACGTCAGGGTACCGCCTGCACATGCTGTTCCGTTCCGTTCTAATGTTCCGTTCCGTTCTAATGTTCCGTTCCGTTCTAATGTTCCGTTCCGTTCTAATGTTCCGTTCCGTTCTAATGTTCCGTTCCGTTCTAATGTTCCGTTCCGTTCTAATGTTCTTGCGTAGTACCTCTTCCTGACTTGAGGCTTTGGAAGGATGACGATTTCAAGGGATATGACGTTGACGTTGACGTTGGAGTAAGGGCATCGTGCTGGGGTTGTCTCCCATGCTCTTCCTCCTCCTGTCTCATGGCTTCCCGCTCTCTCCACCTTCCTCCCCTCCCACCCCTCCACCCCACTCGCCACCCCGCGTCCCCTATTTTCCCCCCATTCCCACCACGTGGCCCCCCCAGGCGGTAGATCTGATAGACAAGCTGCTGCGCTACGACCACCGCACTCGCCTCACTGCCCAGGAGGCCATGGTGGGTGCTAAGGGGGGGAGCAAGGGCGGAGGTGGAGGAGGGGGAGAAGTGGGGGCGGGGGGGGGGGGGGGGGGGAAGGGAAATGGCATGGCATGGTGCATATTATGTTATGTTGAGGCGACGTCGTGTGCCATAATAACGAGGTGACTTTTGTGTCGACTCAAAAGTCACCATGTTATGTTATGTAATGTTATGTAATGTTATGTTGAGGTGCCTCTCATTGCAGCTTCTCGTTGTTTTGCATGCTTGTTTGGATTGTGTGGGTGCTCGTTGGGACTTCTCCCGCCCCTTTCTCTCTTCTCCCCTCTCCTCTCTCTCTGTTCTTAATTCGTCGGTCCCTCTTTTCTCTCTTCCCCTCTCTGCCTCCCTCCTCCCTTCCCCCTCCCTGTTCCTGCATCTCTCTCAGGCACACCCGTTTTTCGACCCTGTTGCGCCTGGAAGGGGAGGAGATGCGTCGGGGTGATGTGTGGTGGTGTGCGGTGACTTCTGGTGATGAGTGGTGAAAGGAAGGCAGATAGGACATTGTGCATCCCCCATAAGAACTGGGGGATAAACGAACGAGAGGCGGAGGGAGGAGGGAGGGGCTGCAGGAAACAGCTGCAGTGTCTCTTGTTCACTCTCTGCCGCTCCTCCTACAAGAAAACCCCAACATCATAGTGTACATACAGCGCAAACTGCTTTGCGTGAGCTGCCTTGGCGTGGCACGTACCCCACACTTGCGCGCAGCTCCCAGGGGGATCCGACCGTAGGCACGGTTGGGAGGTGTCCGGTTGCTTTGTGCAGGATTTTGGTGTTTTGTTGTGTGTGGTTTATTTCTGTCAGGTTTATTTCGAAACGTGCGTTGTGTTTAACATGTGTTTTATATTTAAGCACTTGAATTGCATGGTAGAGGTTGCTGATAAGCCACAGCTTATGTTATGCTTCCCTTCCTGAATGCAGTGCACGGCTGAGGGCCACTAAACCAGAGTCAGTAACGATGTTCGAAAGTTAACATCACCGAAACCTAATTAAAATTAACGAGTTCGCTCAATACCGCATGGTTCCCGTCAAGAAATATCCCCTTAATCGTCGACGCTCCAATATAGAGTGCACCAGCGAATCTCTACATAGATCTTTCTGCTCTTTTGCTTTATCCCTATCTCCGTCCATCAGCGAGCTCATGCCCCACATCCTTCTCCGTTTCCAGCAAAGCGTAAATGAACTTCCCTCCACGCATCATCACACCTGCTCTCTTCTCTTCGCTACGCCTGCAAGCTTCTCACAGCGATCAACGCGTCGTCGTGTCAAAGATCCACGTCCTCGGAGAATCCGTCCGTAACCGGCCGTTGCCGCAGCAGCCTGAACTGAACCGCACCAGGCGCTGTCCTCTTCCTCTCACTGTACAGACCTCTGGCGGGGCGGTTCGGAGCCTCGAGCTTGGAAAGTAGATCGTTTGGATAAGTCTCGACTTTAGTTGAGTCCCCTTGATCGCAAGGAGTGCGCGCGTGCCGACCCTGATAGCGACGAGCGTGATCCCTTGTTCGCGACAACCGGGAGAACGACGAGCCTGATCGCGAATAGCGTTCGCTGCGAAGGCAACTCTCCTTTCACAGTTGCTTTCTTTTCATCGCAACCTCTCGTCTCTCTCTCGCAGTCTCTGTTTCGACCCAACCGTCTTGCGCTCAGTCCCTTTTCTCCCGCTCGATCCCGCTCCCGCTCGCTGTCCTTACGCCGTCGCCTACTCTACGCGCTTATTTTCACGCGCAAATTCGGCCACTCGCTATTCGCCACGCGAGATTTGCCAATCTGCCTCGGGTAGTAACCCGCCTCGCGTGTTACTCGCGGCGAGGAGCCATGTTCGCCAAATTCCGCCAACAGCAGCAACAGCAGATACAGGGTGGGGGGGATTCGTCACCGTGGATGGAATCCGAGGAACCGGAACCGACCGAGCTGAACCCGAGCAAGTGCGGGCAACGGTTACTTTTGAGCAAGGACAAGCTAAGCGTCACGTACACGGGCAACGGCACTCATAACAACGACGTGGGCGCTATCCAGGCGAACCGCGCCGCGCCGAGCCAGCGCGCGATCTACTACTTCGAGATTGTCGTGAAGGACCGCGGCGCGCGCGGGTGTGTGGCCGTTGGGTTCGCGGACGCGAGCTTCAAGACGTGCCGGCAGCCGGGGTGAGGGGGGTTGAAGAGGGGTGAGGGAGAGACCGCAAGGACCGGAGAGGGGGATCCGAGTGGTGAGGGACCGGATAAGGGGAGCGAGGTGAGGTCTGTGCTGCCTCAGAACAGAGGCCACCTCGTTGGGTTCGCGGACACGAGCTTCAAGGCGTGTCGGCAGCCGGGATGATGGGGGTTGAAGAGGGGTGAGGGGGGGTGATAATGGGTGGGTGGGTGGGTGGGGGGAGGGGGAGGGGGGGGAAGGGTTGAGGAGCAGGTGGGGGACAAGAGTCGAGTTTTGAGGCCCCCGTCCACGGAAGATTCTCAGACCCCATCCACTCGCCTCTCTAATCACCTCTTTAATCACCTCTCTGGCCCCATATTGGACTGCACGCGGCCACCTCCCCTCCCCCTCCCCTCCACCCCATGCCCCACCAGGTGGGAGGCGAGCAGCTACGGGTACCACGGGGACAACGGCAAGGTGTATCACAACAGCGGGCGCGGGGAGGCGTACGGGCCTGAGTTCACCACCAACGACGTCGTGGGCGCGGGCATCAACTACGGCACACACGAGATCTTCTTCACGTCAGTGCTGCCTCTCTCTCACTGCCTCTCACTGCCTCGCACACAACCTGCATCTTTGCTGCATGCGAGCAGCAGTGCTGCTGCTACCTACTTCCTCCTGCCATCACTCGTTACTGCTCGTTTCTGCTCCTCTCCGCACGTTCTCTCTTACCCCTACCTCCTTATGTGTGCACTGCCGTGTCGCACCCCCTCCCCGCACCCCTCCCCACCGTTTCTTTCCTGATCGCGTACTCCCGGCAGCAAGAACGGCAAGTCGTTGGGGCCAGCGTTCCGGGATGTGAAGGGCGAGCTCTTCCCCACCATCGGCCTGCACAGCCCCAATGAGAGGTGTGCCCACCGCGACATGGTTTTTTTTTTGGGGGGGGGGGTGGGGGGCGGGGGGCGGGGGGGTGGTTCCCTTACATGCAGTTCAAGACTATAACGGGATACTATAAAGAGGTATGTATGTCCGTCGGGAGCTGTGCATGGCTCGCGTACGCGAGCTCTTGCTCTTTCATCCGGCCCCCCCCTCTTTCCAGCAGGTTACCCTTCTCTCCCTCTTTTCCACTCCCTCTCCGTCATGCCTTATCCCGGATTCCTCTCTTTCACTCCACCCCGCCTCCATGCTTTCATCTATGCCCTCAGGGTGGAGGTCAACTTTGGTCAGAAGCCGTTCCTCTTCGATGTCCAGGTGATTTCAATCTTTCTTTCTTTCTTTCTTTCTTCCTTTCTTTCTTCCTTTCTTTCTTTCTTTCTTTCTTTCTTCCTTTCTTTCTTCCTTTCTTTCTTTCTTTCTTTCTTTCTTTCTTTCTTTCTTTCACGTCTAGGTGTTTTTCCTTGTCTCCCATGCATGCGCCCTGCTCCCATTCTCCCTCCCTCTCATCTTTCTCTATGTTTCATTTCATTTCATTCTTCTTCCCCTCTCGTCAGCCTAGAAGTTTTGTTGTTCTCCTGCTCTTCCTCCCTCCCCCTCGCTACGCCAGGGCATGGTGATGGACGAGCGGGCCAAGGTGCAGCGGGCCATAGACCGCATCCCTTTGTCGCCACACATCACACACAGGTGCCATGCCATGCCTCAACGTCCATCTGCTCACACATCCATGTTCTCTGTGCTCTCTGCCCTCTCGTGATGTCATGTCGCCCTTGTGCCCTCTGTGTGTGCCATCAGTGGATCATGCGCACCGTTTTTCACCCCCCTCCGCCCCAACCACATCTCTCCCATCACCTCATCATCTACCTCCTCTGCTGCTCTTTTCTCCGCACTCCCCTCACATCTAAATAACCCAATCTCTCTCTGCGTATCCCCATGCCCGGTGCCTGAAAAAACCCCTTTGTACCTTTCCCCTCCACTCTCTTCTCCCAACTACTTGCCCGTTCTCTGTCCGCTCACCCCCGCCAGCATAGTACCCCCGCCAGCGTAGTACATTCATACATGCTCTTTCACGGCTATGCTGACACGCTTGTTGCTCTCAATGCTATGTTAGAGTCGCCTCTAAAGAATTATATGCTCTCCCTCCTCCTCCCCCGCCCCCCCCTTCTCCCGGTCCAGCATAGTGCGTTCATACCTGCTCTTTCACGGCTATGCTGACACGCTTGCTGCCCTCGATGCTGCCAGCAGCAGCCCACCTCCTGCCACAAGCCCTGATGCTGCTGCTGCTGCTGCTGCCGCTGGTGGTGCATGTGGGGTGGCAAACGGAGCAGTAGAGTCTGCCTCCCTACTGCAACCGTCAGCAACCGCTGCAGCAGCAGGGGGAGATGGAGAAGGGAGAGTAGCAGGAGGTGGAGGAGGAGGAGGGGGAGGAGGAGGAGGGAGCGCAGAAGGGAGTGTGAGGGGGAGGGAGACGGTTTCTGGGCCTGAGCCTATGGAGGTGGCATCAACAGGGATGGACGCTGCTGCTGCACCTGCTTCTGGGGCTGCAGGTATTACTAGCTGGCCCCTGTGCTGCTTCCTTCTTCATATGTCGGTTTTTTTTTTTTTAGTTTACTCGAAGATCCTCCCCGTATGCCTTTGTCTACTCGAAGATCCTCCTCATATGCCTGTGTAATATGTGTCTCTTTGCCTGCTTCTCACTTCTCACCTGCTTGTTTTCCTCCTGCTCCTGCTGCTGCTGCTGCTGTTGCTGCTGTTGCTGCTGCTGCTGCTGCTGCTGCTGCTGCTGCTCCTCTGCCTGTTTTTGCTGTCGTTGTGTCTGAACAAAGATGGTGGTGCTGCAGGGGCAAAAGCTCCAGGCAACACACTGTCATCACAAGGAGCAGGAGCAGCAGCAGCAGCAGGGCTGGCAGGGGCGCCTAGTGTGGGGTCGCCGTCATGGGACGCTGTGCTAACAGGCACGCTCGCCTTCCGAGCTCAAGTCAGACAGGTGGGCATGCCATGCTCACACAAGTGGACCGGGGAGGTGGACCGGGGAGGTGGACCGGGGAGGTGGACCGGGGAGGTGGACTGGGGAGGTGGACCGGGGAGGTGGACCGGGAGGTGGACTGGGGAGGTGGACTGGGGAGGTGGACTGGGGAGGTGGACTGGGGAGGTGGACTGGGGAGGTGGACTGGGGAGGTGGACTGGGGAGGTGAAATCTTGCAGAGAAATACTTTGGCTTCACCGCCTCCTCAATCGTCCCCTTGCTTCTCTGCTGCTCTTTCCATGTGCCTCTCACCCACTTCTCATCTCGTCTCTCACCCACTTCTCATCTCGTCTATTCACCATGCCTCCTCTGCTCTCTCCCTCCCTTCTCTGCCCTCTGCCCTGTGCCCTCTGCCCTGTGCCCTCTGCCCTGCGCCCTCTGCCCTGCGCCCTCTGCCGTCTGTTTTGAGGCAGCTGATACGAGCGGGGCACATGGATGCGGCTCTGAAACAAGCTCTTTGAAGTGCTGCCGCAGCTGCTGCAGGCGACTCTTGAGGCGCCTCAAATGTCGTCTATTCACCATGCGCCCTCTACCCTCTACCCTGTACCCGCTGCCCTTTGTCCCGGCAGCTGATACGAGCGGGGCACATGGATGCGGCACTCAACAAGCTCTTCGAAGTGCTGCCGCAGCTACTGCAGGTGCTGCTTGTAGCTGTGCATGGGCACGCGTGTTTGCATGTGCACGGCCATGTGTTTGTGCATCTGTTTGTGCACGTGCATAGGCATGTGTGTGTGTGCGCATGGGCATGTGCTGTCAATAGCTGTCAATGCTGTGAGCTAAGTTGGTTCACTCTCTACTACCCGCCCACCTCCTCCTTTTCCCACCCAACCTCCTTTTCCCCACATGCCATATCGCCCAAACCACAGAACGATAGCGCAGGAGTTACGTTTCTCCTCCGAACCACCAAGTTTGCAGAGATCGTGCGGGTATGTATCCTTGTGAGCCTTTTTTTTTAGAATTCTCATAATCGGGTAAATATCCTGCAATTTCTGCCCTTCACCCTCACTCCCCTCCTCGCCCTTCCCTTTGCACTCCTCTCGGTCCCATCCACTCCTTCAGCCCATGCTCCTTCCGCTTTGCTAAACTCGAATCTTCCCCACATTTCCCTCCTCCCCATTCTCCTCCCCCCCGTTCCTCTCCTCCTCGCCCCGTCCCGCCTGTCCCTCCCCCTGTACTCCAGTCGGGGTCGCTAGAGGCAGCACTGGCATATGCGCGTTCGGAGCTCTCAAGCCTTTTCATAATTCTCAAAAGCACCCTGCACTGCCTTTGTCTTCCTCTTGCCCCGTCCCGCCTGTCTCTCCCCTGTATTTGCAGTCGGGGTCGCTAGAGGCAGCACTGGCATATGCGCGTTCAGAGCTCTCAGGGTTCCGAGGCCGCTCACCTGACCAGGACGCTCTGTTGGAGGTGAGTGGTTTTGAGGAGCCTCATAAATCGTTTCTTACCAGGAGCCTTTAAAAAGGGGCGCTCACCTGACCAGGACGCTCTGTTGGAGGTGAGTGAGTAGCATATAAGAGCAAAGCAGCATGCAGGAGGAACTGATTGTCGGTGCTTCTGAGAATTCTCAAAAGCAAGCATTTGTCCGTCCTCGGTCCTCTCCTGTCTTTTGAGGTGCCTCAAAGCGAGCCGTTGTTGTCGCTCCTGTCCTATCGGCTCCTTCTCCTTGTCACCAAGACTCCCTTCCCATGCCATCACCTCGGCACACACACGCCTCAACGTGATCGACCAGTATTCTTCTCTCCTTCTTACTTCTCCTGCCAGAGCTTGCTCTTTCCTTCTCTCTCTTTCTCATGCATGCCATCCTTTCCATCTCTCGTTTCGAGGCGCCTCAAAACTAGACTCTTTCTCATGCATGCCATCCTTTCCATCTCTCTCCCTCTCGCTCACTCTCTCTCGGCTTTGACACCCCTCTCCCCTTACCCACAGGACTTCCTCGCTCTCTTGGCGTATCCCGATGCCACTGCCAGCCCGCTCGCGTACCTGCTGCACCCCTCGCATCGAGACGCGGTAGCAGACCAGGTCAACACCGCCATCCTCTCTGCCGCTGCTGCCTCCTCCACCCACTCCCTCCCCTCCCCTCCCTCCTCCCTCTCCCCGTCCGGCCCTCTCGATATGGCCGCTTCTGGTGCTGACGCCGCCGCTGCTGCTGCTGCTGCTGCTGCTGCTGCTGCTGCTGCTGCTGCTGCCAGTGGCGCTGCTGGTGCTGCTGGTGATGGTGGGGGTGAGAAGCCTGGTTTAGAGGCGAGAGACTACGCGATTGCAATGGCAGAAAGAGCTGGTAGCAGCAGCAATGCGAGTGGGTCGTTAGCAGGGGCAGTGGGGAGAATACCAGGTCAAATGTCAGGAGCCACTGCAACAACAGCAGCAGCAGGTGCAGAAGCAGCGGCGGCGGTAGCGGCAGGAGCGGCAGGGGAGACACGTACCCCGATGGATCTTCTGGCTCTCTCCCACTCTCTCTCGACCTCCACTGTCCGCCTATCCCCACCGCCTCCCCTCCCTCCGGCACTGCTGCTGCAGCAGCGGGTGATACAGCTGTTGGTTCCGCTTCTGCCAGTGGCGCTGCCGCGGCTGGTGTTGTTCCTCCAGAACGGTTGAGAGCGGTGCTGGAGGTGCTGCTGAGGCATCTCGCGGTGTGTCACGAGGAGAGGAGGGAGGCAGCAGGGGGACAGGGTGAGCTGTTCTGCCTGCAACGCATGCTGGGTGGGGGTAAGGATGGAGGCGTGTGGTGAATGAGAGGAGAGGGGATAGAGGGGGTGGGAGTCATGGGACTGTAGGGTTGGCAGCAGGAGCGCAGGGCGAGCTGTTCTGCCTGAAGCGCATGCTGGGTGGGGAAGATGGAGGGGTGTGGTGAATGAGGAGAGGGGTTGGACTGGAGCGGACGTGATTCGTGGGTTTGCGGCATTGGCAGGAGCGCAGGGCGAGCTGTTCTGCCTGAAGCGCATGCTGGGTGGGGGGAAGGAGGGGTGTGGTGAATGAGAGGGGGGATTGGTAACGAAAGAAAAGGGAAGAAAAGGAAGGGATGGGGTGGCGAGAGGAGCAGCTGGAAAGTAACAATAAATGGCTTGAGATGTGGCATGGGAGGTAAGGAGGGAGGGAGGGAGGGAGGAATTGGGGCTTCCCTGGGCTAGTTCTATTGACAGAGAAGAGAGCTTTGGATGCTGTGTAGGGGGTGGAAGTAGGACAAGGAGACATCATGGGAGTAAGGAGGCAGGGAAGGGGAAGAGAGGGTATAAAAGAGGGGAAAACAGGGTTGAAAAGAGGGGATGAGGTTGATTGGTTGGGCTGGTATGTTCTGAGAGACTCTCACCCTGCAGAGCCTACTTGCACCCACCCACCCACTCACTCACTCACCCACCCACTCACCCACCCACTCACCCACCCACTCACTGGCTGGCTTACTCATTCTGGACCTTGACCCTGATTCTGCAGCCAATTCTTTCATTGTACCACAGCATTACTGGTACTTTACACTTTACCACTGTGACTAGCGGCTACTGCTTATGATGACGGGATTCTTCTGATGTTACCATACCACATGTGTACGTAGCGGTTTCCGAGCAGTAGCATCAACCATCGCACGACTTGCTCTCGGCAGAGTCATGCCAAACCCTATACCGGTACCGTAACGATTCACGTGGCTCCATATTAGCTTCTCCCACTAGTTGAATGATATCGCTCCATATTAGCTTCTATCATTAGAATGCTGCCGTGCCGTGCTAGAGGAGGCAAAATGCGATGTGTATGCAAAATATACATGCCAAGCCGACTGCCACAGCAAGCAGCATCAATGTCAATAACCACAAGCGCCCCAATGTCCAGTTTTCCACTCAACGGCTAGTAGTACCACCAGTACCAGTATCCTATCTTGAGTATACATACGGTAATCAGAGCACCTGGACAAGAATAGAGCCGAGCAATCTGTGCTTCTTATCAATAGAAACACAACTCCAGCCTCTTGCCATCATATATACTTGTGTAATTATCCCCTTGTTCTTCCCCGCACCCTCCACATCCCCCGTCAAAACTCCAACATCCTCCTGCATCCCCCCCCCCCCCCCCCCCCCCCCCTTACCTTCTCCACCTCTCCCCCTCCCTCAGACTTTCAACAGCCCAGATTCGTCCGAGTATCGATCGCTGCAAGCATTACGCCCCTCCTGCCCCTCATACCCCTCACCACCACGCCCCTCCCGCCCCCCCTGCCCCTCGTGCCCCTCACCCCCCTCCTCTCCATGCCCCTCCTCGCTCATCTCAATGAAGCGCTTCTTCTCGCTCTCATCCAGCAGCTCGTCTGCCTCGGTGACCAGGTACACGATGGCGGCAATGAGCAGAATCATCAGCCCTGCCCCCGCCACCGCCAGCCCCATCCACAGAAACACACTCATGCTGCCTGCCCCGCCGTCCCCTGTGCCGGCGCCTGGTGAAAGCAACAGGAGAAGGGGCAGGGGGGGAGGCGCAGGGGGGAAGGCGCAGGGGGAAGGGAAGGGTACACGTGGGTGCAAGTAGGCGTGTGGAGCCCTTGGTTTGAGTTCCATACTCCAAACTCCTCCCCTCCTCCTCATGCTTGCCTTCTCGCTCTCATCCAGCAGCTCGTCTGCCTCGGTGACCAGGTAGACAATGGCGGCAATGAGCAGAATCATCAGCCCTGCCCCCGCCACCGCCAGCCCCATCCACAGAAACACGCTCATGCTGCCCGCCCCGCCGTCCGCTGCGTTGGCGCCTGGGGAGCGATGGGGGATCAGGCAAGGGGGTTGGGGGGGTTGGGTACATGTGTGGGTGAATGTGGGTGCAGTGCATGTGAAAAGAATAACACCTCGCACCACCCAGCCCCATTCAGCTCAACTCCACCATCAAGCAGGTATTGGTTCGCCTCAAAAGCCGCGCTGCACATGCACTCCCCCCTTTCCACCTCACCCACTGCCCCCACTCACCATAGACCGAGCTGCGCTGGAACTGCGCGTGGTTGCACTCATAGCACGCAAGGTTGACGTGGAAGCGCGAGGGCACGACGTGCGTGAAGATGCCGCGCTCATCCCGGCTGCTGAAGTTGGCGGCGCACACGGTCCACGTGTCGTAGATGGCGTCTCCCAGCCACTCGTGCTCGTACAGCCCGCACTCCGTGCACTCCTCCCTGTGCAGCTTCGCCACCGGCTGGGGTTTGATGGGGAGGGGTGGGGCGGGAGGGGAGGGAAGGATAGGAGATGGGGAGGGGTTGTAAGGGACAGTGTCGTAGATGGAGTCTCCCAGCCACTCGTGCTCCTACATCCCGCACACCGTGCACTCCTCCCTGTGTAGCCTCGCTACGGGCTGATGGGATGGGACGGAAGCAACGGACGGGGCGGAGAAGCGGGGAGAAAGGGGGAGAAGAGGGGGTGGAGTGTGAGGAAGAGTACAGCGTGCACTCCGTGCACTCCTCCCGGTGCAGCTTTGCCACCAGCAAGAGATGCACAAGCAGGGATGGGAAGAGATGGGTCGAGAGGGAGGGGAGGAGAGGGAGGGGAGGAGAGGGAGGGGAGCAAAGCGAGGGGAGGAGAGGGAGGGGAGGAGAGGGAGGGGAGGAAAGGGAGGGGAGGAAAGGGACGGGAGGAAAGGGATGGGAGGAGAGGGAGGGGAGGAGAGGGAGGGGAGGAGAGTGAGGGGAACGGAAGGGGTTGTAAGGAACAGTGCAGTATGCACTCCTCCCGGTGAAGCTTCCCCACCAGCTAGAGATGCGCGCACAGGGTTGCGACGGGATGGTTCTGGAGGGAGGGGAGGAGATGGGAAGGGGAGGAAGGGGAGGGGACTGCACAGGACTGCACAGAACGAAGCGTGATCGTGCAGTTTTCCCAGTGCTGCCCCGTCACTGGTTGGGGACGGCCGCGCAGCGTGGGTAGTGGAACGCGGGGGAAGGGAGATGGGTAAGCATTGAGTAGAGGGGAAAGGCGAGGACGGGGACGGGACGGGGAAGGGACGGGAAAGGGACGGCTGGGAGGTACGTTCGGGAGGGAAGTCAAGGGGCGTAGGATTGCAGCGAAAGGGGCGGAAGGAGCGAATGGGGAGCATAGAGGGACGGGAGTGGGGTGGGGTGGAGGTAGGGTGGGGCGGGGTGTCATGGGAGAGCGAGAGTTCTGAGTCGACTTGAAGCACACGTGGGAGCGGAGTTGGGTGGAGTGGGGTGGGGTGGCGTAGGACAGGCGTGGGGTTGGGTGGGGGAGGCAGAATGGAGGGAGGGATAACTAAAGTCTTCCCTCCCTCCCCCTTCCAAACAGGCAGCCCCACCAAACCACTTCTCTTTCACGCTTGGCCCAAATTTTGTGTCAGAGCCTCGACAATCATTTCCCTGCCAATCCTCTGGCCTAGCTCGTAGCAAAGGCAAGATTAGAAGCTGTTAATGCAAGTGCGCTTACTCCAGCTATTGATCTCACATGCTCGTGATGTGATTGCTTCACGATTTTCTTTCCACTTGCATTATCACGGCCCATTCTCTTCCCCCCTCCAATGTACAATCCCCGATTCCCCCAAATCAAACTTCGTCCCCTCACCCGCCGCCACTCCCCTCACTTGCTACGCGTTTCAACCCTCCCGCTCGCCTCACGGCCCCTCACGCGTTTCAACCCGCCCACCTGCCACGACTCGTTGCCGTGAAGTTCAACCACTGCATGGTCGCGTTCACCCCTGTCAGCTCCGTGCGGTTGCCGCCGCTGCAACTGAGATCTTCACTGCTCTTCTCTCTACACTCCCTCCGCGGGCTCAACCCCCCGCGCCTCACGGCGCTCTGCGCGCACCTGCCACGACTCGTTGCCGTGAAGTTCAACCACTGCATGGTCGCGTTCACCCCGGGCAGCTCCGTTGCCGCCGCTGCAATCGGAATTCGTACCGCTCTCCTCTCCTCTGTACCGCTGTCCTCCGTTCTCTACTCGCCCTCTCCAATTTACACAGGCCAATTCCCCCCAATCAAAGTCCTCCCTTCACCCGCCGCTCCCCCCACCCGCCCCGCGCCTCCTCCCATCTGCATCGCGCTCACACGCTCCCCAAGCACCCCCCGCGCACCTGCCACGACTCGTTGCCCGTGAAGTTGAACCACTGCATGGTCGCGTTCACCCCGGGCAGCTCCGTGCGGTTGCCGCCGCTGCCGTCGCCGCACGAGAGGTAGACGGCGGGCGCCGTGAACCAGCTGTACTCGTGGAACAGCGTTATGCTCGCCAGCGACACGTTGTACGGTATGCCGCCTGGTGCGGGGAAGGAATAGGGGATTTTCGAGTCGACTCAAAAGCCGTGAACCAGCTGTACATATGGAAGGGCGTTATGCTCGCGAGCGACACGTTATAGGGTATGCCGCCTGGCGCAGGGGGTGTGGCGCGTGGCGCGCGCGGTGAGGGACGGAGGGGAGCGGGGGAAGGGGATTTGAGACGGGAAGGTGAACAGGAGTTTGAGCGATGAAGGGAGACGGTTCATGGCGAGATGTGATTTGGAAGCAGAAAGTGGTGGTAGTGGGGAATTGGGATAGAAAGGCCGCGAGAGCCAATCTTGGTACAGGAGAAGAGGACGCGCGAAGGACGGACAGCGGAGACGGAAGGAAAAGAGAAAGGGACAGCAGAGGGACGAGTGAAGGAGAAGGAAAACGGAAAGGGACGGCAGATACCTGAGCACAGCGAGATGGTCGCTAAGAAGCAAGCGACCGTGAAAATGGCGTCCAGCCCGCGGTGACGACGTTGCCATGCCATCGCGTCACGGTATGGCGTGCAGTGCACCGACGGGGAGAATTTCGCCGGCGGACGGTAATGAACTCCAATCCGAACGAAGCGTACAAGATCGCGACGGCGCGGATTCTACTCCAGAGGAAGGGCCTGATTATCGTGAATAAATTACCAGCTCGTCAGACGTGACGCTTGTGGTGCTGGGACGATGGTTTCCCTAATCTCGGTGCGATGCGCCAAGCAAGATCTCTCTCTCTTTCATTCTACGGTACCGTACTCGCACTGCTATCACAGAAAGATGCGATTGATTTTGGTTGAAGGGCGAAATGGAAGGGAAGGCTTCGCTCGGCTGATGCAGCACGCCGAAGCGGCACTGAGAGGTAAGGGCTCTGGTATGGTGATGGTTGGTGGTGGTTCGGAGAACCAAACCAGAGGTGTGACTGGGAGTTCCGGGCCCGGGAAGGCTGGGCAGCTATGGAGGGAGGTTGATTTTGAAGGGAGTTTTCTCAAATGGCGTTTCAGCTTGCACTGTCTTTGCATTTCAATCCCACTCCAGGTCTTTGCATTTCAATCCCACTCCAGGTCTGGAGTTTGCACCTTCGCACAAGCTTCAGATGTCCAGCTGTTTTAGTATCCGTGGTGTTCGAGATCCCTACATGACACCGTAAAGAAAGCGATGTGAAAGGGACGGGTCTGCTCTTCAAGTGACGCGCACCGGGCCTGGTTAGGGAACCAAACCAGAAAGGAGGCTGCTCATTGGATAATTACAGTTTGACAGTGATGTTCTGACCAAGTACCGAACCAATTCGAGAGTTTTGAAGCCGGTCTGGCTTCTGACGATCAGTCAGGAAATGATGTCGGCGAGGGTGTCAGCGAATCAGATTGCGAGCCCTCATGTGGAAACGTATGGCAAGGGCCAGCCCCGACAGACCTACCGAGGGGGACTAGGACATTATCAAAACACGCGTACTCTGTAAAATACACACAAACATATATCAGAGTGCTAGAGGATTAGCATGAATTGTAACTCTGTTAATTCTAATCTCTGCAAGTGGCTTGTCCCCTGGGCCTGTTTTCGTCTGCAGAAACAAACGAGGGAAGAAGATGAGTGTTTTATTGATTAAAGAACAAAAAAAAAAATAAGTGAAACGTTGCAGACTTCCAACCCGCGGCACGTCACGTCAGCTCGCATAGTTACATGTGCTCTGTGGCCTCAACGCACCTTTTCCATAAGGTCGAGTACGTCAAATCCGTGTATGACCTTGCCAAAGATGGTGTAGAGCCCGTTTAAATGTGGCTGCTTGGCGTATGAAATAAAAAACTGGCTGCCATTGGTGTTGGGCCCACTGTTGGCCATCGACAATATTCCACGCACGTTGTGCTGCTCGGGCAGGGAGTTGGAGAGGTGGAGTGGACAAGAAGGGCAGAAATAAGTTTTGAAAGTGGGCTACGGATGATAAGCGGAGAAGTAACAAGCTGTTCAGAGTGTTTAGGGTTGAGCAACAAAAAGAGAGAGAGAGAGAGAGAGAGAGAGAGAGAGAGAGAGAGAGAGAGAGAGAGAGAGAGAGAGAGAGAGAGAGAGAGGAGAAAAAGGGGGAAAAATAAAAGACAAACGCGCACAAGCTCACCTTAAGGGACTCGCGGATCTCATCGTTGAACTTGCCGCCCCAGATGGACTGACCCCCACGACCAGTGCCAGTGGGGTCGCCTCCTTGGATCATGAATCCACGGATGTTGCGGTGGAAGATGGTGCCGTCATAGTAGCCACTCGCACATAACGCCAGAAAGTTCTGCATGCATACACGCATAAAGGCATACCGGCATGCGCACACATGAAGTGGGGGTAAAGCGTGGGTGGAGGAACGCAGGAACGGATAAAGGGACTAGTCCGTCTAGGAGGCTCGTGAGTAGAAGCAGCAAGTGTAGCAATGCTGACAGCTGACAGTGTAACAATGCTGTAGGACATGAGAGGGAGGGCGCTGGTGGGTTTGAGAGAAGGGAGCTTGGCATGGCAGATGCGGTTTGCTTGAAATAAAGGTTGCTTTACCTCGCAGGCTTTAGGCACTTCGTCGCAGAAGAGCTCGCACTTGATATCGCCCAGGTTGGTGTGCAGGGTCACGGACTGGTGGAGAAGAGGGAGAAGAGTGGGGAGGGTGTGGGAGGTGTGTGTTGTGTTGGGAATGCGTGGGAGATACAAGGAGGAGATTTGGACCACGATGGACAAGGTTGGTCTGAGGGGCGGGCGGGCTGGCATGCGAGAGGCGAGAGAAGAATGAAACACTGGAGGTGCGAGAAGCGGATGTTGGCAGTAAATCACTATTCACCAAAGCACCTTCTTTTATTATTATTCTTTATCTTCTCCCGCTCCCACTCAGAAATTGACGGACAAAAGGGACACACACCATGGCCAACTGCCCGAGCGAAGCTGACACGCCTGGGACAAGATGCGGCCGAAACTGACGACGACGCAAACGTGGCCGGAACTTTCGAGACGATTCGTCCAAGGGTTCGATATGCCTTCTCCAAGGCACGCACGTGAACCTCCGCCTTCGGATCCTCAGTAACGCTACCGCCTACTTCCTCCGCCGTAGTCACTACTCTTCGCTCTTAATTATTAGTCTGTAGGTCGGTGTCCTCCTCGTCAATCGTTGTGGGCCAGTGAAGCTTTGCGCAATCTCTGTGTCTGTCCGCACGTACGGCGTTCAGCTACTGGTTCCTAGTGGCTCAATAGTATTGGACAGAAATCCTCGGTACCAGCGGGAGCACTGGAGATTTAAACTTGACGTACATTATCAACACCATCGGCCGTCAAACATCAGTACTGGATCTGCTAATGCAAGGAAGCTTACTGTTTTGCAGGCTTTTACGTCTGCTGTAAAATTGCAATGGGCGCTTGACTAAAGGGTCTCCCTTCTGTCTCTACACCTTCTGACAGCGTATATCATAGCGAGTTTCCTAAAGCCGAAGATAGTTGGAGGCCATGACAGTGATGGGATTTTCTCTGCGTCGGTGCAAGAAAATCGAACCACACGAGGGCGACTTGAATCCAATTGGCTCGGTCGGTCCCAGCCAGGCGAGGGGCGGAACCGCTGAACCCTGGCCACAGATGACGTACTACAGCTCCAGGCCGCCCTTGACTTACAACTTGGCAAAGAGCAGGTTACCCTGTATCTACAGAACACCGAGTCGTCGTCTTCTCGTCAACACGGACACAACACCAGTGGTTGCATTCACCATGCGCAAATGTCGTCTGAGTTCGCCAATCGCCGATGATTCATGCCCTTGCCCGTGACCCCGGCAGATACATTTCTCGCGTGTGGGTTGGATTCCACCACGAATGAATCTCCTCCGTCCGATTCACGCGCTCCGCGCCATCTCCTTCCTGACGAATCCAGGTGACTGCATTTTTGGATTCCCTGTCCGGAAGCCGTTCGATAGCTAGGATCGACGGTGGAGAGTCAGATTTGCGACGACATTCTCTTCCTGGGCACCACAGACACCCAGAACAGAACACGGAGAAATCAAGGCCAGTTGATTCGAGGCGGGGAGGGAGGGAGGGGTGAGGAGGAAACGGTAACAGAAGAAACCAAGGGCTGCAGCAGCAACAAGAGCAGCACCACCAGCACCGACCAGATAACCCCCTCACCAGAGCTGCCATTATTTCACTTGCAAATTCTCGTCTTCGTCTGGTGCCTGGTTCATGGAACTGTCATGTCATGACTCATATCACATCCCTCTTCAGTTCTTTTGCTGATGCGCTTCTTTTTAGGATGAAGGACAGTCTGGTGTTGAGGTGACCAGCATTTAGAGGGATTGTTGGCTGGCAGAGTAGCAGTGAGACCACACGTCAGCACACTAATCGTCGCACATTCACCGCAATTGCCGTTTGTCCCTTTTCTTGCGTATGATAATAACCGCTTTCATCGTCGCACAGCGTCTCTTGTGGTGATATTTATGGCGTTCCTGCTGGTGCCAGCAGCAGGCGCGGCAGTACTGGGATTCAAAGCCCTGATTGGAAAAAAGAAGGCAGCCGACAGCTCATCGGCCGAGAAGCTCGTAGGCGACGACAAGGCTGATAATGAAAACCCCCTGACTAGCAGTTTCCCAGTCAAAGGCTCAAGCGAAATGGATAATGCCGGCGACTCGGACGCCGAGATGGATAAATCCGACGGTCCAGATTCACGCGAGGGAGCAGGCGCGCAGCCGCAGCAGCCGCCGGATGGAGGATCTAACTTCACCGGAGCAGCAGACGTAGGTTCAAGCGGCGAGGCGGACGCGAATCCGGGCGGCGCGACAGACGCCAATTTTCTTGTGGCTAAGGAAACGATGGCGGTAACTGCACCGGAGACCATGGCTGGTAGACTGTCCAAGTGTACATTCCACGAGGAGAAGGAACAGCGAGCATCAGGCAACGAGCTGCCGTCCTCCGGACCCAATCCGACAAACGAATCTGTCGTGGACAATGCGGGTGCATCCGAGAACGACGGCGCTCGCGACGGCCGCAACGACGGTCGCTCGACCGGATTGGCGGAGAATCCCGCCGCAGAGCCCCTGACGCCTCCCGAGGTGCCTCAGAACCACGCTTCACAGCCGCTGATGGCCTTAAAACCCGTGCCGTTGCCGGAGCATGCGTGCGCGGAAGATGCGGGGAAGATAGAGGCGGAGGAGTTGGAACTGCTGGCCATGATCGGCGCGATTCAGGGGAAGCCGGCGCGAGAGAACGCGCAATGCGGGGCTCGTGACGCGGCGAAGGCGGGGAGTGGAATGTGTTGCACGAAGAATGCAGGCGAGCTTATCGGAGAAAAAGCAGGCAACGGTGGTTCAGCAGGCGGGATTGCCTTTGCGAATACTACGGATGATACTGCAGAGGGTAAAGCAGCAGAATCGTCTGTTGCGGAAGCAGCAGTTTCATCTGTGGCCGTCACAGCTTCGCTGTCCCCCCAGCCCGCCGTTCCCGAGGACTCGCTTCCGGCGGAGCGAGTCGGAAGCCGCGGAGAGGCGGAGGGCAAGCGCGCGGAGCTGTCGGAGCTGCAGCGCGAGCTGCGGGAGCTGGGGGCGGCGCTACAGGCGGAGGCGGAGAGGGAGCGCGTGCTAGAGAGCGATATAGAGGCGTCGGAAAACGAGCGGGGGGAGGGGGAGGAGCCGAGTGCGGAAGAGAGCACAGCGGAAGGAGGCGGGGAAACAGCGGGCAGCAGGACCGCGGGAGAAGGCGGAGGGAGGGAGAATTGCGCGAACGGTAACGGGATTCGAGCCTCCTGTGAAGAATCTGAGGGAAGCAACAGCGCCGTGGACGTGCGCAGTGGCAAATGCTTTGGCGTCTCGCAGTTGGGACAAGAGCTCGCTAAAGACTCGCACTGTGCTGCTGGTTGCTTACATGGGAGCGTCGAAAGCCTCGAGAGCGGAGTGCAAGTGAGAGAGAGGCCAGGTGCGGGGAAGCACGGCGCGCGGAATGGTCGCGGGAGCAGCGTTTGGAAGAATGCGGCGCATGGGAGGGGCCGTGGGTGGGTTGCGCTTGCGCCGCACGGTGTGCGCGGAGTTCCGGAGATGGCCGCGGTGGTGAAAGGACGTGAGCAGCAGGGGCAGCAGCGGGAGTGGGAGGCTGAGCGGCGGATTCGGCGGGCGGAGGCGGTGGGGAAGAAGCGCGCAGACGAGGAGAGAGGCGCGGAGAAAGGGGGAAATGAGAAGCGGCTGCGGGAGGTGGAGAGGAGGGAGAGAGAGCTGGAGGAGTGGCAGAAAAGGATGGTGGAGCGAGAGAAAGAGGTGGAGGAGAGAGGAAGAGAGGTGGAAGAGAATAGAAGGCAGGTGGAGGAAGAGCGAGGGAGGGTTCAGATGGAGAGAGAGGAGGTGATGGTGATGCGGCAAGCGAATGATGAGAAGAAGAAAGAGGTGGAGAGATGGGCGGGGGAGGTGAGGGGTGCGGAGGCAGCGGTTAAGGTGCGGGAGGAGGAGGTGGATTGGCGGGGGGTGGTGGTTGGGAAGCGAGAGGAGGACGTTGCGGGGCGAGAGGAGGTCGTGGGTCGTCGGGAGGAGAAGGTGGTTGCACGAGAGGAAGCGGTGATGCGGCGAGAGGAGGAGGCTGATAGGAGGACGCTTGAGGTGGAGAGGAGGGAGGAGGAGGTGGTGGATAGGCGGAGAATGATGGAAGGGGAATTGGAGAAGTTAGCAGGGGAATTGGCGCAGGTGGAGAAACTGAGAGGGGCATGCGCGGAGAAAGAGGCAAAGGTGGAGAGGCGAGGAGAGGAGGTGAAGGGACGAGAGGAGGAGGTGAAGAGAAGGGAAGAGGAGGTGGAGAGGCGAGAGGAGGAGGTTAAAGGGCGCGGTAAGCAAGTAGGCGAGCGGGAGAAGGAGGTGGAGAAGCGGTTCTGTGAGGTGAAGGGTCGATTGGCAGAGGTGGAAGCGGAAGCGGACGAGGTAAGGGGACGCGTGAAGGAGGTGGAAGAGAGGGAGGGGGCTGTGGGGAGGAAGGAGGAGGATTTGAAGCTTAAAGAGGAACAGATTGTGATGGCGGAGGGAGAGGTGGTGAGGAGAGAGGGGGATTTAAAGCTGAGAGAGGACAAAGTATCGCAGAAAGAGGATGAGTTTAAGGGGAAGGAGGAGGCGGTGGAGAGGAGGGAAAGGGAGTTGGAGGAGAGAGGGGAGGAAGTGGCGAGGCGAGAGAAGGAGGTGCAGCAGCAGCGGCTGAGTTTGGACGAGAAAATGAGGGAGGTGGAGGAGAGAGAACGTGAGGTAGGGGTACGGGAGGTGGGAGTCACGGTGAGGGAGGGACAGGTGGAGCAGGAGAAGGAGGAGGTTCAGAAGAGGGAAGCAGAGGTGGGTTTACGAGAGGAGGAGGTGGCGAGAAGGGAAAGAGACGTTGCTGAGAAGGAGGAGGAAGTGAGGAGAAGAGAGGGAGTGGTTGAGGAGAAGGAGAGGAGGGTGGAGGAGGAGATTGAGTGGGTGAGGGAGGCGATGGGGCGGGTGGCGAGGGGGGCGGCTGGGAACGTGGAGAAGGAAGCAGAGGTGGAGGAGGCGAGGAGAGAGGTGAGGGAGAGGGAGGAGCGGGTGGAGGGGCGACGGCAGGAGGTGGAGCGGCAGGAGCAGGAGGTGCAGGCGCGGGCAGAGCAGGTGCAACGGCTGCTGGCGGAAGTGGAAACGCGAGAGAAGGCCATGGCTGAACGAGAGAAGGCCGTGGGCTTGGCTGAACGTAACGAGAGGGAGGTGGCAAAGGTGATGGTGGTGATGGGAAGGAAAGAGGCGGAGTGGAAGGAGAGGGAGGCGCAGCTGCAAGCAGAGGTGAAGGAACTGCAGAGGGAGAAGGAGGTGATGCAGGAGAAGGAGCGGGAAGCGGATGTTGGGAGGGGGGTGAGTGGGATGGAGGAGCAGATGAGAGAGTTGATGGAGAGGAGGGAGAAGATGGAGTTGCGAGAAGGGGAGCTTGTGGAGTGGGAGGGGAGGGTTAAGAGGCGAGAACTGGAGGTGGAGGGAAGAGAGAGGGCGGTGGAAGGGAGAGAGGAGGCGATGGGGGAGAGGGAGAGGGCATTGGAGGACAGGGAGGAGAGAGTGGGGGAGAGAGAGAGGGAGGTGGATGGGAGAGAGAAGGAGGTGGGGGAGAAAGAGAAAAAGGTGAAGGAGAGAGAAGAGAAGGTGAGTGTAAAGGAGGCGGAGGTGAGAGCAGCAGAGGAGGAGGTGGGTGCACGGGCGAGGCTGGTGGAAGAAGATACAGTGAAGGTGTGTGGAGACATGGTCCGTGCAGAGGTGCTGCTGAGTGAGGCCCAGGGACGAGCTGCAGAGGTGGAGAAACGAGCGGCGGAGGTGGAAAGACGAGAAGCCGAGGTGGAAAAGCGTGAGGCGGACGTTGAGAAACGCGAAACTGGGTTGAAGGAGAGAGAGGACGAGGTGGAAAGGAGAGAGGAAGTGAGGGCTGCTAAGTTGCAGCGGAGGGAGGAGGAGGTGGGACAGCGAGAGAAGGAGGTGGAGAAGCGAGAGGAAGAGGTGGGTTCGGCGCGGAGGAGCGTGCGGGCGAAAGAGGAGGTGGTGGATAGGCAGCTTCGGATGGTGATGGAGAGACAGGAGGATGTGGCACGGAGGGAGGAGCAGATGAGAGACGACGAGGAGGAAAAGGGGAGGGAGGAGGAGACCGCGACGAGAAAACGAGTTTTGGAGTTAGAGAGGAGGGTCGAGGAGAGGGAGGTTGAGGTGGCTGAAAGGGAAAGGAAGGTGGCTGAGAGAGAGGAGCAGGTGAGGAGGAGAGTTGTTGGGTGTGCAGCGAAGGAGGATGAGGTGGAGGAGAGGGAGAAGAGGGTGGAGGAGGAGATAGAGGGGATGAGGGAGGCAATGGGGCGGGTGGCGAAGGGTGCGGCTGGGAACGTGGAGAAGGAAGCAGAGGTGGAGGAGGCGAGGAGGGAGGTGAGGGAGAGGGAGGAGCAGGTGGAGGGGAGACGGCAGGAGGTGGAGCGGCAGGAGCAGGAGGTGCAGGCGCGGGCAGAGCAGGTGCAACGGCTGCTGGCGGACGTGGAAACGCGCGAGCAGGCTGTGGCTACGCGCGAGAAGGCCGTGACTGTGGCTGAACGGGAGAGTCCTCTGATAGGGGAGAGGAATGAAGTAGACGCAGCAGCTGTCAAGTGCCAGGGCATGGGAAGTGGAGAAGTGGGTGGGTCAGTAAAACGTGTGGCTGAACTGGAAGAGGAGCTGGAGCGGCAGCAGTGTGCTATGATGAAGATGGAAGCGCTCGTTGCTGCTGCTACTGCTGAGATGAAGGACCTGATGCGGCAGAAAGAAACAGCAGAGGAGAAGCTTCGAGAGGCAATTGAGAGAGCGGAGAGGGAGCGGGAGAAGGAGAGGGAGAGGGAGAAGGAAAGGGAGAAGGAGCGGGAGAGGGTGTCGCAGCAGAGGCGAGAGCAGGAGGAGAAGGAGAAGGAGCTGGAGGGGAGAGAGGCGGAAGTGGAGGAGGGTATGGGAGAGGTGAAGAGGAGGGAGGTGGCGCTGGTGGTGAGGGAACTGCGGGTGGAAGCAGAGTCTGAGGCGCTAGGAAGGGAGATGGATAGACTGGCAGCCATGGCTGCTGCGAATGCGGAAAAGGCGTGTGAGCTGGATGAGAAGAGAGAGGTGGTGGATCAGAGGGAAGAGGAGGTTGGGAGGAGGGAGGCTGAGGTGGGGCGAAGGATGGAGGAGGTGGAGAGGAGGGAGAAGGAGGTGGAGGATGCTGTGAGGAGTAAGGGAAGGGAAGCAGGGGAGGAGGCAAAGGCGGAGTGTGAGAGGCTGAAGGTGGAAGTGCAGCGGTTGAGAGAAGAGGTTGAGAGGGCTGAGGAGAGGTTGAGTAAGGCGAGGGAGGAGGTTAAGCGGGCGGACGAAGAGGTGGCGGTGCTTACTGTGCGGACAGCTGAGAGGCGTGATGCGGAGGAGAGGTTGAGAGGAGAGGTTAGTAGGCTCCAGAAGGAAATTGGGCAGCTGAAGGAGAGAATGAAGGAGAGAGAGTGTGAGAGCAGCAAGATGGGCGAGGTGCTGAGGAGGCGAGAGGCGGAGATAGAGAGGCAGGAGGAGGAGGTGAGGAAGAGAGTGAAGGAGGTTATGGATAAAGCAGCGAGGATGGAGGAGATGAGGAGGGAAGCCAAGGCTGGGGCTGATAAGAGGAGCTCAGATGTGGAGATGCGGTGGAGAGAGGTGGAGATGAAGGAGAGAGAGGTGGACAAGCGGATGGCGCTGCTGCGGAAGAAAGAGGCAGAGAAGGAGAAGGAGCTAGAGGAGGAGACGGAGAGAGTGCAGGCTGCTACAGCTCGAGTGGCTAAGGGGCTAGTGGCTAATGCTGCTAAGGAGGCTGAGTTGGAAGGGATGAGGCGGGAGGTGGAAGAGCAGGGGAAGAAGGTTTGGAAGATGGAGGAGGAGATGGGGGTGGTGATGGAGAGTGTGAGGAAGAAGGAGGAGGAGGTGGTGAGGCGGATGGTGGAGTTTGAGGAGAGGATTGAGGCGTTGGCCGTGCGGGAGAGGGAGGTGGAGTGGTGGAAGGAAGAGGTGGAGAGAGTGAGGAAACAGGCTGCTGAAGTGGCCCAGGCAAGGGCTGTGATTGAGGAGAAGGAGAGGGAAATGATGGCACTGAGTGATGCAGTGAGTGCGAAAGAGGAGGTGATCCGGGCAAAGGAAGAGGAGATGAAAGGCAGAGAAGAGGGTGTGCGGGTGGAGAAGGAAGAGGTGCGGGCGAAGGAGGAGGGGATGAAGGCGAGGGAGGAGGAGCTGGAGAGGCGAGAGGAGGAGGTGGTGTTGTGGGAGGAGGAGCTGAAGAAGGATAAGGAGGAGCTGAAGAAAGATAAGGAGGAGCTGAAGAAAGATAAGGAAAAGCTGGCAGAGGAGCTAGCGAGTCAGGGCAGGAGGGAGGTGGAGTGGAAGGAGAGGGAGCGACGGCTGCAGGAAGAGGTGGAGAGGCTGTTGGAGCTGGTGGAGCAAGCAGGATCGGGAGGAGCAGGAGGAGGGGCAGGAGCAGCAGGAGCAGGAGCAGCAGGAGCAGCAGGAGCAGCAGGAGGAGGAGGGGGGGGCGGTTTGAAGGGATTCAGGTATCGCCAGGGGGGCGTGTTGAGGGGGCTCAATCCACAGGGCCGCGTTTTGAAGGACCGTTAA